TGAAGCCTCTTCCTGATAAGACAGAGTCAGTCAGTCTGCACCCCCCCCCCTCCTCCCACACTCTCGCTATCTGTGCGCCTCAAGGAGCTCAGCCTGCGGGAGCCCTTTTAACCCCTCGTTCAGGGACAACCCGAGTTCCAGCTGAGGCTGGAGAGAAGAGGGGATTGCAGGAGGGCATCAGTAAAAAAAAAAAAACTAAAAAAAGTACGATAGCTCATGTTTGCCCATCACAATTCTGGAGCTTTTCCTCTTATGGGTTGTTTGCTATCGGAGGAGGGAGTATCCTCATTTTTTTTCGGCTTTTCCAGCCAATTTGAGGCTTTCTCCGCGAATGGAGCAACGGTGGGACTTTTTTTTTTCTTTTTTTTTTTACACATGGGGGCTTTTTTTTTTTTTTTTAAATGCTTATGGCAGAACTGTCCTGGAGGTCACACTGGGTTACAACACCAGAAGGGCTGCAAACCGGAGGAGGCCTGTCTGGTAAGATTATCAGAGGGGCTCACCCAGCTGTTTCCTGAGAGAAGCCAGGGTATCGGCTTCAACAACAGGGCTGGGCGGCTTGTTCCCCACCCCCACCTCCCTTTGTGTAACGACGTGACTCCTGTCCTGATTGGAGGATCTCACCCAGCTGTCGGCTTCAGTTTGTTCCACACCCCCACCTCCCTTTGAAACCACACAGGGAGCTCAGTAATCATGCATTCTAATGGCAACAGACACAAAGTTCACCTGGATCCCCCTGCGAGTTCGGATTTCACTAGGAGAGCCGGGGACACAGTGGCAGCACAGACAGAGAGGCCCACACGCGTCCTCTGGAGCTCCCTCCCTCCAACACCGAGCGCTGGGACTCTAAGGACATGTGGTTCTGAAGCGCTTGTGCCAAGCAGTGGTAAGGGAGGCAGAAACTGACGTCATTCACAGAATACAAGCAGAGTGCTTTAAGGGGGGAAAGAAAAAACTAGTCAAACAGCTTAAACCAAACAGAAAGCCCAAAGCTCAGCCAGAGAGCTGCCCTGAACCGTCTGACGTGAGAAAATGGGCACACCCTTGCCACTATAAAGGAAAGGATTATTGGAGCTCACCAGGATCGAAACATGTTTTTTATTTTAAAAAACTGCTGCTAACGACCTTTAACCTTAGGGGGATGAGTGGTGGCTCTGTGGCTCAGGATCTGCGCCTGTGACTGGAAGGTGGCCTGGAATCCTGTTCCTTTGGGCCCCCGAGCAAGGCCCTTAACCCCCACTGCTCCAGGGGCCCCGTATAAATGTCTGACCCTGCGCTCTGACCCCCAGCTTCTCTCTCCCTGTCTGTGTGTCTCATGGAGAGCAAGCTGGGGTCTGCGAAAAGACGAATTCCTAATGCAAAAAATTGTATATGGCCAATAAAGTGATCTTATCTTAAAAGACATACTTTAACCCAATAAAGCTTCGATTTCCCCCATGTTTCCCTGATGTGAGATACAGAAGGAAGGAACTGTAGAACAGTCAAGAGGCGAGAGGAGGCCTGGTTGCCAGATAGACAATCACTGATCCCAGAATCATCCAGCTGTTTCCTGAAACCAGCTGGGGGCATGCATTGGCTTCAACAAGGACTGGGCCACCTTGTTCCACACCCCCGCCACCCTTAGTGTAAAGAGGTGCCTCCTTTTCCTCAGCTCTAAACGAGGCAGCCTCCACGTGTGCCCTCTGGTTCGTGTTTCACCGTTCGGTGTGAAGATTGTGTTAACTGTGCCAGGGCCCTAACCGTTTTTGAACACTTGCCTCAGTCGTCAAGACTAAAAAAAGTTGAATTACGCCCCAGAATTCAACTGGTTGTTCTTCTCTGGACAGATTACAGAGCAGCAATATCTTTTTCTCTAACGTGTTTACAAGCCCTCCGATTCCAATAACTGGAATTGTGCCCTTTGACCTACTGTTATCTGACAAGGACTTGAATTCAGTTTGTCCATCATGCTGTCCGGTCAATGCAATATAATGA